TATTCACACAATGGAATACTATGCTGCATTGATAAACAAGCAACTCATGCAATATTATTCAAAATGGGTGACCCTGGAGGACATTATGCTGAGTGAAGTATCTCAGTCACAAAAGGACAACTACTGCATGGTGCCACTGTTGTAAAACAGGGCTGGTATCGGAGTTGGGGGGAGACTGAGAAAGATGGGATAAATAATGTATACTGCATTGAAACAGATGAGGTGGGAAACTGTTTAAAAGGGATATATGAAAAAAAAAAGGAGTCCAGAGTGAAGGCTGCATAGTGGAGTGGACCTGGGGGGAGGAATTGTAAAACAATGAAAGAATTTTTCTTTTACTTTTCAAAGAGGGGAGGTACTGTGGCAGAGGGGTGGGCAGGGAGAAAAGTGCAACACTGAATGAATGGAAATCCAAAATCTCTGTAAATTTTCATTGAAATTAATAATAAAATGTAAAAAAAAAACCAACCCATAACACTTTCTCTAAAATTAAATGAAAATATTTTAAGACTTTCCTAGCAAATAAAATTGCGTATGTATTTTAAAAAAATAAATATCAGACAAGAGGATTAGGGAGACGAAAATATTTTTTTTTCTTCATTTTAAACTGGTTTACTTATAAAGTTCATCTGAATGTTTTTTCACACCAGATCTTTCTCACACCATTTCCTTAACAACCCACCCCTCCCTCCAGCCATCAAAGTGTGCGACCTATGCTCACCCCCAGGCCCTGCCCATCCTCACCCTTCAGCTCCCCACCCTCCCCTCCTTAGAGCCTCATACAGGTTTTACTAGTTACCTATTTCTACAGTAATGGTCTTTTACAGTATTTGTCCTTATGGGACTGAGTTAGTTCACTTAGCATAAAGCTCTCTAGTCCCTCCCAAGTTAGATAATGATTTACAAAACCATTGTTCCTGCATGCTGCATAGTATTCCATCGAGAAAATGCTTTAAAGCCAAGAAAAGAACCTGCCCTGTGAACAATGGGGAGCCAGAAGAGGTAAGAGCTGGCTAGAGAAAAAAAGGGGGCAGCAATAGGTCTTCCCTGCTTGCACCCTACTGCTCATGGTGTCAGGAGCTGCCCCTAGCCTACAGAGGGACTCTCGAAGGTGCCTCTCATCTCCTCCAGGGGGGACCCAGTGCCTTAGCAGGACAAGACCAAGGTCCATTTCCCAGTGACCTCACCCAGTGACCACCTCCCCCTGGACTTTTGGTGGATCAGCCAGCGGCAATTAGCAGAATGCAAGAAAGGAGCAATCCGGGGAGGGAGCCAAGCAGGCAGAAACATGGGTTTATAATTAGGTGGTCTAATCACCTGTGTAAATTATGTACTTCTTATGATCGATGTGCTAAACGGTGCAGGTTTAATTAAGTTCTGCTGACTGGTTCTCTTTGAAGACCCACTGAAGTGTGATTCACAGCTCCTACTATTAATAGCAGGGAGAGGAACCCTTTGAAAGGGGGTGGCAGTTCCCTACTGCCTTCCCCCACCGTCTCCCTGCATCCTTCTGTGCCCACTCTCCATGTGCCCTTTGCCGGTTGCAATGGGTGGGCTTCTGCACCGAGAACCCTTTAGGGGAAAGATGAACAAGTAGGAAATCGCAAATATTTTCTCACCTCCTTCCAGAGTGGTCCATTCTGAATCAGAGTGGTCCATTCTGCATCAGAAAGTAAACCCTAACACTCTCATCACTCTCTTTGAGCATAGTCCAGAACATAGAACGCCACGTCCCTTCCTGTGGGTTAAGAATCGTTTGCTTTGCATGAAGCAACCTCATCAACACGGATCCTTCCGCTCCCGTGATTCAGTGCTGTGTTCTGTTCTATGCATCCTTCTCTGATCCACATTCCACTTACACCGTTCTGCCTTCTCTCACCTGCTTCCTCTCTCTTACAGCCCACATTGTTGTGTAACTCAAGCACCGCCCCCTCCCCATTTCCTAGAGCAGCCTCTTCCTGGCAAAGGTTTCAGTAAGCTCTGCTGACTCCTTCGTTCTGACATAGAAGGAAAGCCAAAGCCTTCATCTTCAGCCCTCCTGGACCACACATTCAAACTCTTCTCTTTGCCGTCTCCACTCAGCTCTAGGTCATGGGCAAGTTCACTCTGCTCTAACCTGCCACCCAGAAATCCTGAGCACCTTCTCCTCCTAAAGTTTGTTCCTTTTCCTTGAGGACCAGAAGAGAAATGAAGGAACAGCCCACCTTTCCTCTTGCTCTTAGGTTTCTGACTGTTATAACCATGGTAACAAAAGAGGAGAAACTTCAAAAAGTTGTGCTAAAAAGTACTAAAGAGTGAATCCTCAAGGTAGACCGACCAACCAATAAAACTCTGTGAAAGAATGGAATCGCTCTCTATCTGTGTTGTCCACAATGGTATCAACTAGCCACATATTCTCCATGCTTTTAAAGTTATCCAGGTTTTTAATTGCCCATGTTTTAGTTCTAAATCCTACGTTTTCAGTTCTACATGTTCTGTTCCACGCCTTTACGTTCTCAAATGCCTCTCAGCCCTTTACTGCTCCTGACACTTTGCCAAGCTCTTGTGTGAAGTCTTCCTTTCTGTACATTTGTCTGCAATTTCCAGCACGATACTATATAATTTTCATCATCTAAAGTGCTGAGGTCGCAAGGGGATGAATGGATACTGTCATCATGTTGCCTTCTATTTTGTCCCCTGCAGATTCACCTCAGTGTCTGTCAGGTCTAGGGTATAGAGAGAATATTGAACTTGGCAAGGAATTAACACTCATTATCTCTCTATCATCCTTTGTGGCTTTAACACTGTCCTTTAAGCAAACCACCGGCTCTAGACGTGGAATCAATATCGCTTAAAAGTGAAGAAGCAGCAGAGTTGGGGAGAGAAAGGGGATGGAGAGGGAAAGGAAGTTCAAACTTTCCCATCACGGGGCCTTCACAAGCCAACAGCTTGCTGTAGTGGGTGAAAATGCTGGAAATCTCACTGTCTATAGTCCTCAAGAAACCTCTGGAAGTCAGCAAAAGGAGTAAAAGTGACTTGAAAAGATTTTCTCTTTAATGTATTAGCAACAAAGGGTAAAAAGGAGAATCAAAAGCAGACCATAAAATGTCATTTGTAAGTGGTACAGCAGTGATCTATCTATTTGCTCTGCTGAAGTGACTTAGAGTTGCTGTGATGATGGACAACTGTACCATAGGTGTGTCAAACACCGTGGTTGACTGTCCATCATAGGCAGTGTTTGGTGGAGCTCCCAGACTGATTCAGGTTTGGAAGCAGGAGTGCCATCCACTTCCTAAACCACATGCCTCTGGAAAGTCTGTGAACCTGGAGAAACAACAATAATTATAGAAAGGCTTCAGGTTGCTATGAGTCATGCTCGACTCAACAGCAATCAACAAGAGGAGAGTCCTCTGGTCTTGGTTGATCCCCGTGCTTACTAAGGTCCTCCATGAGAGCAACTTCAGTGACCATTTTTCCGTCTTCTTCATGTTAATCTGTTCACAGCATGGACCCAGCTATATCCTCTCTATTTAAATATTTACTTATCATGTTTCCATGTTTTCTTCTTACTTTCTTGCTTTTCTCTTACTTAAAACTTCCCGCTCTTGGTCCCATTTGTTGCCTGTTCTGTTGTTGAACCTCTAAATGGTGGAGGACCACAGGGCCTGCTCCCAGATTCTTCTCTTCCTTACCTACACTTTCTGCCCAGGTTAACTCACCCATTCACATGACTTCAAATACCAAATATACATGAATATTTCCCAAATCTGAGCTTCAGGTCAGATCTTGCCAAATGTATAGACACATCTGCCTGTCCAATTCCATGAACTGCCGAAATAACAAATCTGTCTCAGAGGAAGTACAACCAAGGCGGCCCTTAGAGGCAAGGATGGTGAAGCTTCATCTTACAAAATTTAGGCATGTTATCAAGAGGGACCGGAGATGTCTTTGAGAAAAGACATCATGTTGGGAAAGGTAAGAAGTCAGAGAAAGATCAGACCCTCGAGGAGGTGGATTGACACAGCGACTATAACAAAGTGTTCAGGTAAAGTCATGGGGAGGATGCTGGAGAGAGCAAGGTCCAGACATGTTGTTCAAAGGGTTGTTAAGAGTTGTATTCAACTCAATGGCACATAACAACAAGAACAACATTCAGTAATATATTGATTTCCTATGGAGGGTCGGCCAAGAAAAGGAAGACAAGTGTGAGGATGGCACAGGATAGAACAGGGTTCAGATCTTTTGTTCATAGGGTTGCTATGAGTCATACTCAACTCAATGGCATCTAACAACAACAACATGCAGTCATAACAAAATACTACAAATTAATTAGCTTGGAAGAGAAGAAATGCATTGTTTTAGAGTTCTTCAGGTTGGGAATTTGACATCAGGACGTCAACTACGTTGATTCTTTCTGTGATTTTTGAGAAGACAATGTCCCGTGTCCCTCTCCTAGCCTCTGTGTGGTAAGCCAAGCATTCTTTGACTTGCATCTGCAGTATTACACAGTATGACATGGCATCTTCTTTTTGTCTCAGTCTCTTCTTTTCCTCTCTTCTCTATAAGGACACCAGTAATACAGAATTAGGATCCACCCTACTTCACCATGACTTCATGCCAACCTAACTGATAACATCTTCATAAGACCCTATTTCCAAACAAACAGCCCCATTCACAGAAACAAAGCTTAAGACTTACAATATCTCTTTTAGGGGCACGCCATGTAATCCCTAAGAGATGCTTTCATTTGAATAGCCAATTTGTTGTTATAGCTATTGTTCATTGCCCCAGAATCACTTCCAATTTATGGTCTCTCTAATTAACGTGTCCAAAATCGAACTCTGCCTATGGGCAGGGAATTTTAGAAAAGAGAATATTGTGAAAACAGCTAGCAAGTGGAGCCAGGGGGCTAAGACTCAGTAGCAGGTAGCGAGGGTTGAAAGAGAGAAAAACTAACAGAGCCGCCTAAGCAAGGGGCTAAGTCCAGAACCACTGACCCACCTCGGGCTCTCTCCACACAGAGGAGGCGAAGCACAAGCGGAGGGTCCGCACCACCTTCACCACGGAGCAGCTGCACGAGCTGGAGAGGATGTTTCATTTCACCCACTACCCCGACGTCCATATCCGCAACCAGCTAGCAGCCAGGATCAACCTCCCTGAAACCCGTGTTCAGGTACCTCCACCCTGCCCCACCCTTAGCCTCAACCTGCGGCCAGGAAGAAGCACGTCCTAGATTAGATTTTCCACGTCTGTCCTCATCTGAAAAATGTGGGGGGCTTCATCCCTTAAGAGCAATCATATTTGCCAGATATGATCAGTTCCAGGAGCTGAGGTTACCATGTTGTTGTTGTTGTTGTTGTTTTGTTGTTGTTTTGTTGTTGTTATGTGCCACCGAATCAACCATGACTCATCGTGACCTTCTGAACAATGACTCTGAACCTTCCTCTATTGGAGCCAATCTCTCCATCTGACACACCTGAACCGCAGGCCAGAGTCACTGTGTCCATCCATCTCATCCAAGGTCTTCCTTTCTTATGCTGACCTTCTACATTTATTCACGGGGTTATTTCAGGCTGGGAAGATGATCGGAACAGCCAGATTCTGCAAAAGTGTGTTTTCTGATTTGGGGTTGAGACTAGGGTGTGGCTGTTGTTCACAATAGGGCGTAAGCTGATAAGATTTGGCCTCATATTTAAAAAGGATTTGGGGCCCTCAGGCCTGTTTTTTTTTTGTGAATCTCCCAAATAAAACAGGCTTGGAAGCTGTAGTGGCATCCACTTCCAAAAAAAGCTTGCCTCTGGATACCCTATGAACTTGGAGAAAAGATGAAAGTTTTGTGTTCGGGACTTTCATTCATAGAATCGCTATGAGTCATCTATGACTCTATGACACTTAACACGACAACACGTATTCATAAGATATTGTTCTCCTTTGTCCGTATTGATGGAGTATATGGGGTGGCATTGGATGATTACCGTGAAGTATCATTAGATGATTGCCGTTAATCTCTGCCTCCTTGCCCTTTCTCTACACACACACACACACACACACACACACACACATCTCTGTTAAAGTAGTTGCCATCAAGTCAGTTCCTGTACTTCAGAGAAGAGCTACACTCCTTTGGCTGTGACCTTTTGGAAATTCTTCATCAGACTTTTATTCCATGATTCAAACCTCCAATCTTTTGGCTAATAGTCGAAGCACTTCACTGTTTGCACCATCCAAGGAGCATACTAGTTATACTTCAACTATCCAGCCTCCGCATCATTGACAGACTGATTTAAAAAAAAACAAAAGTAAATTATTATCTTTTCCAATTTTCTTTTCAAATGAGTTTTTATCTTCTTCAGCCTTTAAGGAATCAAATCCATCATGGGCTTTGATGGTGGCCGTGGGGCAGCGCCTGCAGGTCTAAATCTGGGTGGAGGTTTTCTGTCTTGGGCTTCATAAAAACGGTTCCTCAGCACCTTGCTGTGAATGGTACAACTCACACAAAAGTGCAGTTTCACATAGAGCTTTGGAAGCACATATGCGTCGAAGACACTTGCTTCGGAAGTGTCCCTGACGACAGCTGTCTCTACTATATTTCAAATCATTAACTTCTTTACTGCCTTGTCTTTGGGCACGCAGTGGGCGCAGTTCATGCAGTGAATAGGCTGCATGTGGCCGTGGCCCTTTTTGGCACAGCCATTGTTTCTCCTTTTCTTTGTCATCTTGGAAGTGAGAGCCTGAGAGAGGAAAACAGACTTCTTGTTGATGCTGTTGTTGTTGTTGAGTGCCTTTGAATGAAACATGACTCATGGCGACCCTAAGAACAACAGATGTGAACTCTGTCCTATCCTGTGCAACACAAACTGGGCAGCGCCTCGCTTAGATCTGTCAAATTATTGACAACTCTACAACTCTGCCACTATGACACAAAAACAGTCATAGGCATAAAAGCAAATAAGCATAAAACTTTTTCCAACAAAGCTTGATTTATTAACACTAAGAATTTGTGCTTTTAGTCATTTTCATATGTCACAAAATATTGGTCTTCTTTTGATATTTTTTTACCCTTAACTATTTTAAAGTATGAATACCATTCTTAGCTAAGGGGTTATTTTAAAAAAAAAAACGAACACCCAACAGTCATAATTTGGCCTGTAGGCCATAGTTTACTGCCTTCTGGTCTATATAAACCATGTGGACAGAGCTCTGAAAGCAGCACAAGGAAGTGAGAAGTGCACAGAGTAATGGTCAGACACCTGATTTGAGCCCTGATTACCCATGTAGCGGGAGCATCTGGTTCAAATCCACCAGCGACCCAGGGGAGAAGGATGGACAATCTTGTTCCATGCAATTAACTGCCTCTGACAACCTTCTGGAAGGTCAGCTATGAGTTGATTCCAACTTGACAGCCCACAACAATAACAATCACCACCCATATATGAGGGAGCTCTGGTGGCCTAGTGGTAAGAAGTTGTACTGTCAGCTCTAAGGCATACAGTTTGAATTCACCAGTTGCACCATAGAAAAAAGATGGGGAGACTTCTCCCGTGTAATTTACTGCCTTTGAAAACCCATTGGATGGTCAGCTATGGGTCTGTACCAACTTGACAGTACATAACAACTACCTGTGTAATCTCTCAAGATTCTCTCTTGCTCTCTACCAGGCTAAAGTTTGCTAGTCCCTGTGACTCACCAGGGACATGCCCTGCCATCTTTACTCATGCCCAATTCACCAAGTACTTTGGCACAGGAAAGAGCACTGAGATGACCCGGTGACATGCCACTACCAAATTCAACTTCTGCACCCTTGGAATTTTATCTAAAACCATCTTCTAGATTATTCTTCTTTGTCTGGCTATTTTTAAAATAAAATAGACATGTGATGGTCTCAGTAAAATTCAAAACTAGACCAAGGCCAAGGTCAACATCTCACTCTTTAATGTATGCCATACTGCTGTTCTGAAAGAAAACCACACTTGTCTTGGACTTCCCCTCATTAGAGGTCATCATCAGCTGCCTGGGCAGCACCTGCATCCACAGAAAAGCCCAGAATTCCACTCTTCCTGCAGAGGAATCACCAAGGGCACCTGGCCACATGCTAGGACCCTCAGGGCATCTATGAACATGTGGAAGGTAAATATGAAATCTAAGATGTCCAGAGGCTCCACAGGGGTTAGAGATTGGTGGCCTAACAGCTGGGTCACCCACAAATGGATTTCATTTGACTTGAGCATTAAAAAATAAAATTCAAGGGGAGCTCTGGTGGACTAGTGGCAGGAAGCTGCACTGCAATCCCAGAGGCGCACGGTTCGAATCCACCAGATGCTCTGCCGAGGAAGGAGGGGTAATCTCCTCCTCTACTAGTCAGATCTGATTTGACGGTACACACACACACACACACACACACACACACACATAATAAATAAAAATTTTAAAAAATCATTCTTTAAAAAAAAAATCAGTAGCTTTCCCTTGAAAAACAGTCTAACAACTATCCGTGAAAAACAAGATTTAGGCTTGAAAATGAGTCAGCCCCAAACAGTGGCCAGTGCCTATCATACACAGCCACCACCAATCTGTCAGTAGAGGCTCTTGTGTTGCTATGGTGCTGAATAAGTTTCAGTGCAGCTTCCAGGGTGAGATGAACCACAGAGAAAGGCCTGGGCAATTGCTTCCAAAAATCTGTCAATGATCCTAGAGGTCGCCTGTCAGTCAAATACTGTTGGAAGGTGCCATTGAGTCAGCTCTGCCTTCCAGCATCCCTACCAACAATGGGTTGCTCTATCCTGACCCATGTTGAATGCAACAATGGGCTGGAACACTGTGTCAGTTCATCTTGTTGAGGGTCTTCCTTTCGTTCACTGACCCTCTACTTTTCCTAGCGTGATGCCTTTATCCAAGGAGAGGCAACAACTTCTGACACCAGTCTCAAAGCCTCATCATCCTTACCTCTAAAGAGCGTCCTGTTTGTACTTCCTCCAAGATAAGTTTACACGGAATATTCATCTGTCTTGGCCAGCACCCCAATTCAAGGGCATACATTCCTTTATCTTCTTTATTCATTACCCAACTTCTACATGAATAGGAAGCAGTTGAAAATATCATGGCTTGGGCCAGGTTCACCTTAGTCTTTAAACAGACATCCTTACTCTTCGGCATTTTAAAGAAGTCCTTTAAAGCATATTTTCCCAGAGGAGCACATCTTTTGATGTCTTGATTGCTACTTTCATGGAAGTTGTGAAGCCAAGAAAAAGGAAACCCTTGAAAACATCAATCTTGACTCTATTTATCATGATGTTACCTATTAGTCTGTTGTTAAGTGCTGTTGAGTTGAATATAACACAAAGCGATCCAATAAACAACAGGTCTGAAACCTATTTTATCCTGTGCCACCCTCATCATCTCTGATACGCTTGAGGCCGTAATGATAAGGATTTTCTTTTGTTGAAGTTGAGGTCTAGCTCATCTGAAAGCTTTAGGCTTTGTTCTTCTTTAGTAAGTGCTTCAAGTCTTGTCCACTTTCCACAAACAAAGCTGTGTCATCCGCATAATGCAGATTATTGATGCGTTTCCCTCCGACTTGATGCCATATTCTTTTTTTCTACTTTTTTATACAAATTTTTTATACTGGTTTACTTGATGCCACATTCTTCTTAATATAGTCCAGTTTCTCAGATTATTTGCTCAGCAAAAGATTTCTATGGGCAAGATATTGAATGATGCAGGGAACCTTAAATGTAGATGGAAATAATATAGAATGACTGTGCCAAAAAAAAATTAGTTAACACTGAATTATTTCTAGAAGGACTGACTAATGGTATTAAAGGGGGGAAATCAAAGCTGCACTGGAGACAAGGGCAAAATATAAGGTCCCAGGAATTAACTAAAAGACCAATTGAGGTATTTCAGCAAACAGATGAAATGTTAGCCATTCTCACTTGTCTGTGGTAAGAAATTTAGAAGACAGCAACTTGGCCAACTGACTAGAAGAGATCCTTATTTGTGAACCCCCCTTTAAAAAAATGATCCAACAGAATGAAAATTATCAAGCAAAATCCTTAAAATCACATGTAAATAAACTCTTGCTGATGATTATTAAAAAATAGCTGAGATAGTACATCAATAGGAAAATATCAGAAATTCAATCTGGATTTAAAAAGATGCCTTCAAATGAGGGATATTATTGCTAATGTTGGCTGAACCTTGGCTGAAAGCTGAGAAGATCAAAAAGATATTTACCTGTCCTTTATTGACTCTGCAGATGCATTTGATTCATAATAAATTGTGGATAATATTGAGATGAATAGAAATTCCAGAACACATAATTGTGCTCATATGAAACTATATTTAGACCAAGAATTAGTAGTTCAAACATAACAAAGAATTATTGCATCACTTAAAAGTAGGGAAAGTGTCAGAGTTTTAATTTTTCACCATATATCCAATCAGTTTGCTGAGCCAACAAATATAAAATAAGCAATTATACCTGTGAGGATATGCCTTTTATTTCCAGCAATTATTGTTTGCTGTTGTTAAGGGTCGTCGAGTTGTAGGCAACTCACAGCGACCCTATGAACGAAAATCACTTGAGTGACTTTCATCCTCATTCCAGGTTGAGAGGCTTTCCCAAGGCAAGCTATTTACGGAAGTGGACGCCATTCCTGCGTCCAAGCTTGTTTTAACGGGGGAGCTCCACCAAGCACTGTCCATCATGGGTAACTGTTATTGCATTTGACACGTAAGTGTCACGGTGTTGAGCAATTACAGAAGCCCAAATAGGCAGCATTTGTCCAAAAGAAAAGATGAGAAGGCAAAGAGGGGCAGGAAAAAAAGGAGGAGAAATAGAGAAGAAGTGCTGATTCATTGCAACAATAACAACTGATATCATATAACAATCTGTGTATGACTATGGAATGGGAAACTGATTGTCTGTGTAAACTTTCACCTAAAGCATCATATTGTTGTTGTTGTTGAGTACTGTAGAGTCAGGACCAACCTATAGCTGACCCTCCGGCAAGTTTTCAAAGGCAGTTAATCTCATAGGAGGAGATTGCCCATCCTTCTCCCACAGAGCAGCTGGTGACCTCGAACTTTGTGCCTTTGGGATTGCAGAGCAGGGTTAACAAAACCAGTCAGTGTCAACACTATAGATCAAAATGGTCCAGCTCACTCCTGATCGTGGCGATGGAACAAGGCCAGGCAACAGGTCTAACATCACAACAAAACACTCGGTCCACATACTCTGGTTGCCCATAGGCTCTGCCACTCTCAGTTACCTGGCACCATCCGATTCACTCATGTATGTCCCTATTGGTCTTGAAGACATGTGACCCCTGGTCCCTTCTTAGGACACTGACCTCCAGATCTAAGGAAACCGTGGATGCCCTTATGTTTCATAAACTATGAAATGCTAGTCCCTTGCAAGATGTTATTATTATCCACGTGAGAGCAGGTATCAAACGGAGTCCCTGGAAAGTACAAAGTTGCAAGGCATCAGTTACTAACCAAAATCTGGGAAGTTTTCTCCAAATGCATAGATGCCTCGGATAAAAGGCCTGATAATTACATTCAAAATAGCAGTCATTGAAAGCCCCTGTGGAGCAGAGTTCCCTAATACATGTGCAGGCACTGTGAGGTGGAGGCAACGTGAAGAAGACCAGTCCCAGATGGATCTCAAGGATCCCTGATGGCGTTGGCGGTTGAGCTGTTAATCAGAACGTCTTCAATGGGGCAGTCTGCTCCCATTGAATATATAGTCTCAGAAACCTGGAGGGTCGCCCTGAGTTGGAGTTGATTTTCAGGCATTGGGTTTGGACTTTTATTTATAGGAATAAACCCACTCTCTATCTCCGTCTTCTCTCTACTTCACCTCAGATCTGGTTCCAGAACCAGCGAGCCAAGTGGCGGAAGCAGGAGAAACTGGGCAGCCTGAACACTCTGCAGCCACTGAGTGAGACCAAATTGGCCCCAGTGACAAATCTGGATGTTGTGGTGAGTTGTTGAGGCATGAAAGGGATGGGGCAAGGAGGGGTGGGGTGGTATCCATTGTCTGGAAACATTCTAAATCTAGATTGGAAGAAACACTTTAGAGGCTCATTAACGGCTGCAAAAAGTTGACGGGAAATTAATTTAGGAGCATAAGGGCTAGATTTGATGTGGAGGAATGTGGCATCAGGATTGGGGGAAGACTTATAAACAATTTGAGTTATGCAGATGATGCAACCTTGCTTGTAGAAACTGAAGAGGACCTGAAGCATTTGCTTCAGAAGGTCAAGGACTGTAGTCTTCAACATGGATTGAAGATCAACATCAAGAAGGCAAAGATTCTCACCACTGGAAACAACTAGAAGCACCATGATGGATGGAGAAGAGATTGAGGTTGTTAACAATTTCAGCTTGCTCAGTTTCACAATCAACATTCTTGTCACCAGAAGTCAGGAAATCCAAAGTAGATTTAGGGAAATCTGTTTTCAGGGAACACTCTAGAGTGCTAAAGAGCAACGATGTCACTCTAGAGACATCTAATTTGTGCCTGATTCAGTCCATGGTCTTCTCAATTACTTGCTATGCATCAGAGAGTTGAACAACAACTAAGGATGCCAGAAGAATTGATGCCTTTGAGTTGTGGTACTGGAGAAGAGCATTAAGCATTCTATTGACCACCAAGAGAACAAAGAGGTCTGCCCTGGAGAGGGTGAAATCAAGCTGTTCCTTAAAGGCAATGATTTTGAAGCTCCATCTCACATACTTTGGGCATATTTCTAGGTGGGCCCAGTCCTTGGAGAAGAACAACATGCTTAGAAGGGTGGAGGGACAGAACAGAGAGGAAGACCTTGAGTGACACAGATTGACACAATAACTGAGATCATGGGGGTAAGTGTGTCAGAGTCGGTGAGACTGGCTCAGAGAAGGTTCAGAGCTATTGTATATAAGGTCACTACGAGTCACAGCCAACTCGATGGCACATAACAACAGGGACACGGAAGGGTCTTGACATTTATGAGACTTAATACATGTCACTGATTTCTCATCCACTGGAAGCCATCATAGTGCTTCTTCTTCCTCCAGGGAGTAGCTTGTATTACACTTGCAAAGCTTTAAAGTTTCTAAAACAAGGTCACAGAGTAAAGTGTAATGCATGCAAGTTTAGTACACCAAGTCTGAAGTCAGAGCACCCTGTTCTAAATCCCAGATCTGCATGTAACAGTGAGACTGTGGAATCGTCATTTTGCCTGTCAGGGACAACGCTCATGCTCTGATGAAGATTAAATGAATAAGATAAAAAGAATGTTTGCCATTTGAAAAATCCCACTGCTCTGGCTTTAGGTCCAACTCACAGCAACCCAACAGGGCAAAGTAGAACCGCCCCGTAAGATTTCTAAGGCTGGAAATCTTTATAGAAGCAGACTACCCCATCTTTCTCCCACGGAGCTGGTGGGTTTAAGCCACTCACCCTTCAATTATAATTGAGCACTTTATAGGATTTTGCACTTCAGAACTGCTCCCTAAATGTTAGCAGTATGTTGTTGTTGTTGTTGTTATGTGCTTTCAAGTCATGTTCGACTCATAGTAACTCTATAAACAACAGTCCTGAGCCCTGCCCTATCCTGTGCCATCCTCATAATCTTAGACAAACTTGAGCCCATTGCTGCAGTAACTGTATCCATCCACTGGGCTGAGGTTCTTCCTCTCCTTCGCCATCCCTCCACTTTTCCAAGTATGATGTCTTCTCCAAGAAATAGCCTCTTCTAGCAACATGCCCACAGTATGTAAGACAAAGGTTTTCCATCCTTCTCTCCAAGGAATACTCTGACTTCACCTTCTCCAAGACGTATCTGTTTGTTCTTTTGGGAGCCTGTGGGGTATTTGGTACTCTCCTCCACCACCACAACTCAAAGGCGTCAATTTTTCTTCTGTCATCCTTATCCTTATTAATCGGGATGGGAGTGTCAGAGACCGTGCGATTGGCACAGGACAGAGCGGAGTTTAGGGCTGTTGTACATAGGGTCGCTATGAGTCGCAAGTGACTCGACGGCGCATAACAACAACAACCTTATTCATTGTGTAGCTTTCAGCAGTGTATCAAGTGATTGGAAAAACTCTGGTCTGAATCAGGCATACCTTAGTCCTCAAACTAACATCATTGCTCCATAATAATTTGGAGAGGTCCCTTAACTACAGACTTTCCCAGTGCAATATACATCGTGATGTCCTGACTGCTGTACAAAGTGTATTGACTGTGGAACCAAGTAAAATGAAATCATTGACAGTTTCAATCTTCTCTCCATCTATCACATCACCTATTGGTTCAATGATAAGAATTTTTGTTTTCTTGACATTAAAATAGAATCCGTATTGAAGGCTGTAGTGTTTTATCTGCTGAAGCAAGTATTTCAGGTCTTCCTCACTTTTAGTAAACAAGGTTGCATCACCTACATAATGAAAGTTATTGACAAGTATTCCTCTAATCCTGATGCCATATTCTTCTTCATAGAGTCTAGCTTCTCTAATAATTTGCTTAGTATATGATTAACCAGGTATAGAGAAAGGATACAACTGTGATGCATGCCTTTCTTAATCTTAACTGATGTAGAATTCCCTTGCTCTATTCACATGTCAGCTTCTCGGTCTAGGTATAGGTTTCACATGAGCACAATTTAGTGCTCTGGGATCCCATTTTTTCTCAATCTTAGCCATCACTTGTTATGATCGACACAGCCAAATGCCTTCGCATAATCTTCGCATTGCCTGTGTTGAGTTAGTCAACATATATTTTTGAGTGTGTACCAGGTCTTTAGAAGTAAGGATGGTGAAACTTCTCACATACTTTAAGTATGTTGTCAGGAGCAACAAATCCTTGAAAAAAGATGCTAGAGTCAGCCAAAGAGAAGAAAACCCTCAACGAAGCAGACAGAAACAATGAGCTTGAGAATGACAGAGATGGCAAGAATGGCACAGGAAATGGCAAGATCCAATCTACTGTTTGTGATGAGTCCTAGTTGACTTAACAGCCCCTGGTGCTTCAGGAAAGAAAAGGCTGGAGCAAGACAGGACAGGGTTCGATTGTGTTGGTCACCGAGTTGCTCTGAGTCATACACCTCTCGCCAGCACCTAACAACAACAGATGCTGAGAGGGCATTGGTGGTTCACTGGGAGAATTCTCACTTCCACAAAGGAGACCTGAGTTCGATTCCCAAGCAGTGCACTTCATGTGAAGCCTCCACCCACCTTTTTGTAGCAGCATCAGGTCTAACCACTGTGGGCATGGCAGGAAATAAGACAAATAAGCCTGCCCTCTGGAACAGACACTACTATCACGTCGGTCTAGTGTTCAAGGTTTCTCTATCCCCACAAAATCAAAACTTAAACCCAACTCCCAGCAGCTATTGCATCTTACCGAGCAGAACTGTGTTATAGAATTACCCTGACTGTGAACCCTTACAGAGGAGTTCCTGGGTGGCACATACAGTTAAGTGTTCAACCACTGACCAGATGTTGGTGGTTCGAACCCAGCAAGAGGCAACTCAGAAGACAGCTTGGTGATACCTGCTTCCCAGAGGTCACAGCTTTGAAACTCTGTAGAGCGCAATTCTACTCTACATCCTTGGGGCCATCATGAGTCCTAAAGAAAATGACAATCTTTATGGAAGCAGATTACCAGGCCTGTGGTGTCATGGGATAGGTTCAAACTGTACACCTTTGGGTTAATAGTCAAGCTATTTGTGCCACCCAAAGACCTTCCTATGTTCCCACAGTGACACCATCAGGTAGGAATTTTTTAAATGATTTTTATTTCATATTGGTTTGCATACAAAATTTATATGTATATACTGTATTTTGTTTCTGTACATTGTATTTCATGCACTCCTCTATTTGTCGTGTTTCATACCATCATTCCTATACATTGTTGTTTGTTGTTGTTATGTGCTGTCGAGTCGCCTGCGACTCATAGCGACCCTATGAGTCTCTACATAGTGTTTTGTAATGTTACTAACCATTGACCAGGCCCATCAGGTAGGATTTTAAATAAGTTTTTCACTAAGGCAAAAATGACCTGACAAGTAAAATGAGTTTTCCCTGCAACTACTAAGTGTTGGGATTCGAACTTGCTTTCCTGACCTCATTGGCCATGGACAGCTGTGACCACCCATCAAGGTTCATGCAGTCTTTCGGTGTTAAACCCAGAAGACCTGGGGAAGTTTGGCCCTTGCTGTGCCCATGCCAGGGGAGAAAAGCAGGCGAGCTGCAGACTTCCCAGGCCAAAGGTGACGGTTCACTTCTCTCTCCTGATCTTCTCTCTCCTGCTCTCTCTTTGTAACAGGCCCCTCTTCAGACATCTGTGGTTCTACCCAGGCTGGCTCCTCCCACCAATTGTTATCCGCTTGTTCAAAACCAGCTGGCCACTGCCTGGCTCCCTGCACAAGTCACCCTCCCTCCACACCCGCCATGGGAGATGCAGACGCCTCGGGACCCTCTCCTGCAGCAGATCTGCGTCCCTGTGCTCCAGCTCCTTCCGCAACCTCTGTACCCAAGGTGGGGCCACATCTGTGCCTCTTCAACCTAGGAATCAGGCAGCCTCTCCCCAAAGAGTCATTCTCCTCATCACCAGAACAGTGGTGTCTGAAAACATGCCAGAGGGCCGTCTCGGGTTAAGCAACAAGGAGTAAATGGTATCGTCACAGCGTCATCTCTCTGGCTCATCAGATGGGCTGCATGCAATCTCAGGACAAGCTCTACAGTGGGAAGATCATTCTCTTACACTGGGCTCTCCTCCAACTTGCTGTGTGACCTCCGGTCAGTCATTCCCCTCCTCTGGACCTCATCTGTAGAGGGAGAAAGCTGGACAACATGGTTTCTGAGGACATTTCTCATCCTAACTTTTGTGAATGGACCCATGTAAGAACAGAAGCAAAGAGGCCAAGAGAGGATACAGAGATGAACAACTCAGGACCCCTTTGCTTTTCTGTGATCAAATTGTTCGCTCAACTGTCAGGTTTCTACAACTTATAGTAGTAAAGTAGCTTGAATAAATATGAGAAATGCCAATAGTCTGGGAGTAAATGCTAGACAGAACATCCAGTAATCTGTTTGTGTACGTTTCAAGGCCTTTTCCATTTTCCCTGGCTACTTATTTCTCTGAATTTCATTTTCTCCATCCATTATATCAATGAGGATAACAAAGCCTGCCTCAAAAGTCAGCTGCAGACAAGACCACTGTATGCAACGGTGGGAGCCAAGTGCTTGGACTTACAAAATATGTTATTGATGTTGTTGTTGTTAAGTGCCGTCAAGTCGTAGACGACTCATAGTGAACCTATGAATGAAAGTCCTCAATACACATAACTTTCATTGTTTCTCTAAGTTCAGAGACTTTCCGGAGGCAAGCTATTTTGGAAGTAAATGCCACTCCTGCTTCCAAGTTTGTTTTAATTTGAGTGTGCCATCAAACACTGTCCACCATGAGTAACCATTATCACATTTGACACATCAGTGTCACATCATTTGACACAGTGTCACATCACAGCAAGCTTGAGTAACCTCTGTACAGCAAATTGACAGATGAGTGCTGTACTATTTAGAAGAATGTTTGCCTGAAAACAAAGCAGCCCCAAACTGGCAACCAAATACTTTTTTTAAATAAAAGGCCAAATCCAATCAGCTCAAACCCAGTTTCTAGCAACAGACCATACCCAAGACTCAACCAAAACAGAAAACACACCTTTGTAGACATCAGAAGTTATTCTTGGTTGCTTCTTCAACTCCTCTAAAACTCAGATAAAGAATCTATATCTGGAAAGTATTTACAGATTGTGTAATATTTCTTTAAGACCCATTGACCTTTTAGAGTTCAGTTTTTAAAAAGGTTAAACAAACAGGTAAATTGGCAAAGAGCAGGAATAAATGAGTTCTAGAAAGATGGCAAATGGATATTAAGCATGTGAAAATATTCTCAACTTTATTCATAATAAAATAAGTAAATCTGTAATGAAGGTGTTTCTTCAACCTTTCAACTTGACAGATTTTTTTAAAATGTCAGTGAGGCAGAGACTCATATATAAATGGGTTGCTGTTGTTGTTGTTGTTGTTAGGTGCTGTGGAGTCCCAAATCATAGCAACCTCTCACATGAAGGGACGAATGCCTGACCAATCTTGTGCTGCCTTTATAATCTCCACTGCACATTTTTTGCAGTCGCTGTATCAATCCACCTTGTTGAGCGTCTCATTCTCCCTTACTGGCTCTCTCTTTTCCAAGCAGGCAAATCCTTTTCTAGTGACCAGATGCATCTTGTCCAAAGTATGTGAGATAAAACCTCACTGAGTTTGCCTGGCAGGAGCTCATTAGCGTAACTTCTTCGCAGACAGGTTTACCTATTCTTGCGGCAGTCCACTATGCATGCGCTATTCTTGGCCACCTAGGTGTGCATGAGTCCTATAATTTGAAACTATTTGACAATAGCAATTAATATTCTAAATGCAGTGTATTTGACCCAGCAATTCTATTTACAAGAATTTATCTGATAAGCATATACATAATACACACACATATATATAGCATGTGAGAATGTTCACTGAGGCTTTGTAATAGCAAATACTGGAAACCATCTAAATAGGACACTGTTTAAACAGATCATCATTTATTCATTCAACTGTTAGAAATAATGAGAGACTGGAGCGTACCTCATGGAAATTGATCATTAGACACATCATTAAGTCAAAAGTGGAAGATGCAGAACAGTCCTATTATCTTATTCTAGCAAGAAAATGATAAAGATGGATTCAAGAAACTTTTCTATATAAAAACACTTTCTGTATGCTGATGGCTTCTATACTAGCCCTGAGGTTTTGTTTCATAACAAGTCACCGCAAACCTTAGTGATTTGAAGCAACAACCACTTCCTCATGGCAGGATTGTGTGGCTTAGTTGGGTTCCTAATCTGGGCTGGGTCATCTGTGAGTGATCAGTTGGTGACCAGTGGTGGTCAGCTGGATGTTCTAATATGACCTTACTCAGTGGTCTGGCTATTAGTAGGGGTGATATGGTGACTGGACTCTCACTAGACTTCTTCAGATAGCCATATATCTTAGCTACTTAGTTATTTATATCTAGAAACACCATGAGGGAACCTCAGCCATCCAGTGAGCTCTAAAAGAACACCCGAGAGAGAAAGACCATCAAATTTCTATCAATATCACTAGCATTTATTATACCATAGACGTCTAAGAGAACAAAGAGGTTCATCCTAGAGAGGGTGAATGAAACCAGGCTGCCACCTTGGAGGCAAGGATTCTAAAGCTTCATCTGACTTATTTTGGACATGTTGCAAGGAGGGGCGAATCCTTGGAGAGGGACATCATGCTTGGGAGGGCAGAGGGACAACACAAGAGAAATGATTGCTGAAATGATCAATGAAATGGATTGATTCAGTGACTAGGGTAATGGGGGTAGTTGTGCCAGAGACAATAAGGTTGACACAAGATACAGCAGGGTTTAGGGCTGTTATACATAAAGTTGCTATGAGTCACAGGCGACTTCATGGCATATAAAAACAACAACACTTTCTAAATACCTTGTATATGGCCAGGCATAGAACTAGGAACTAAATAAAAAAGGGTCTCCTTCCATGGAACAAGTGTTTCTGATGTTTTGAGCTACAAATAAAAGAAAGTTCAATCCAAATTGAATTAAGTAGCAAGAGCATGTATCCTTTCTCCTTGAAGTCCATAGGACAAGAAGGCCTCAAGGCAACTTGATTCAGAGACCCAGCAGCATCCCCCGGGAGCAAGTTCCCAGGGTTAGGCTGCCTCACTATCCCTAGGGCAACCTCGTCCTCTGTCTGGCTAATTCCAGTATGGCGGCTTCTGTTTTAGATGCCAAGACCAGATATGCCTGTGCTCTCCAGAGGAAGAGCAAGTGATGACTCTGGAACAGGAAAGCCTATCTAAAATTCCTTCAGCAAACTGTCTCTCACAAGCCCATGGTCAATACCACAAGTCCATGTCTACCAACCATTAAGGGGAGGATTGATTTGGACCCATCACTCTCCTTCCTGTTGTTAGATCCTGTCGAGTCCACTGTGACCTGTATTGACCGTATGAACATCAGACCTGTGCCCTGTCCTGTCCTGTGTGTCATCCTTATTCTTTTTCTGCTTTATTTAAGCCTGTTGTTACTGTCCCTGTGTCAATCCACGCTGTTCAGGGTCTTTCTCTCTTTTGCTGACTCTCCACCTTTCCAAGCATGATCTCTCTTCCCAAGGTCTGGCCCCTCCTAAATGTGCACTAAGTCTGTGAGACAAAATTTCACCGTATTTGCCTCTAAGGAGCACCTGGTTGCACGGTGGTTGAATTTTCTTGCGAGAGTAGATATTTGAGAATCAACAAATGTACATTCTACTAAATATAATGATAATAACAATAATGTTGTGTTGTTGTTGGGTATCCTTGTGTCAGAGCAAACTCATTGTTGACCCACCAGGCAGGTTTTTGGAGACAGTAAATCACACAAGAGATAGGAGATTGCCTATCTTTCTCTGGTGGAGCCATTGGTCGATTTGAACTATTTGCCTAAATTGGCGTCACA